CGGGCACTGCAGAGCAAGTCACGATTTATTAACACCGACTCTGGCTGCAGACAAGCTGTGCTGGGATGCTGACAGCACCCTCCACAACTGCACATTGGGAAAATACGTGGGCCCAGAGCCCCGGCACGGTGCCCGGTGCTGCGCGGTGCCCGCCGTGCTGCTCGCTTGCACTGGTCGCAGAGAAGAGATTCACCAGCCAGCGCTCATTTGTTATAGAAGGAAGAGAAATTTCCTTTAACAAGCATAGCCCAGAAGAATGAATTCTGTAACTTGGCTGAAAGTTAACTCTCCTCTAACAACAGGAGAAGGTGCAGGGCTGTGGTGCTTCCCCACAACGAATTCTTTCCACGTGCTGCCATCGCTACTTCCCTGCGGAGCCATCCTCCTCGCTGCCTCCTGCTCCCTCCTGCTTTGTGATGATGAGATTTTTTTGATGATGAGAAAATGGCCTTTGTTGCTTCCAGCGCTGCTGCCCCTGCTGAATTTATTTGCTTTTTTGTTTAAAGGAGGTAGGGTCCCCACATCTCTGTGCTCCAAAATCCAGGGCTGGCTTGGGACACCTGGGGACCTTCTGCAGAGACCAAGATGAGCATTCCCACCCTGGGTGGGTGAGGAAGCAGCACACGGTGGTGGTGGTGCCGCGGGTCAGGTTGCTTGTTACTAACCTTTGGAATCAGCTCTGTCAAAGGCAATCTGCCTCCACCCAAAATATCTTGCCACCTCATTGCTCTTCAGACCAACTCGGGATGTAGTACCTGGCCCGACGGGCTCCTCTCAGGAGAGCTCGTTTGACAGCAATCCCACTGCTCCTGCCTTTGATCTCTCCCCGCTGAGGCAGAAGGTCCCCCTCCTAAAACACGGCGCTGCGTGGCGTGGCTCCCCTGTTTCTCCCAGTTGTCCAGCAATTCTGCTCCTTTCTATCTGCACACTGGGCTCTGGCATCTGCAGGGGGATGTAACAATCCCAAACTGCATTCATCACCTTTTGTAAGGAGCCCCGGGGGATGCCAGACACTGGTGGCTCACTGCGTGGGGGGCAGCAGGTTTTGTGTACCCATGTGATGTCCTTTGGACATTCCCAAGCACAAATCCAGGCTGGGCAAGGAGTGCATTGAGAGCAGCCCTGTGGAGAAGGACCTGGGGGGGTTGGTGGGTGGAAAACTGCCCGTGAGGCAGCACCATGTGCTCCCAGCCCAGAACCCACCCGTGGCCTGGGCTGCAGCCAGAGCAGGGGGGGCAGCAGGGCCAGGGAGGGGATTCTCCCCCTCTGCTCCGCTCTGGGGAGACCCCCCTGCAGTGCTGGGGCCAGCTCGGGGACCCCCAACAGCAGAAGGACACGGAGCTGCTCGAGCGGGGCCAGAGGAGGCCACGGAGATGCTGGGGGGGCTGGAGCAGCTCCCCTGGGGGGCCGGGCTGAGAGAGTTGGGGGGGTTCAGCCTGGAGAAGAGAAGGCTCCGGGGAGCCCTTCGAGCGGCCTCCCAGGGCTTAAAGGGGGGGCAGGAAAGGTGGGGAGGGACTCTGGATCAGGGGGTGTGGGTAGGATGAGGGGTGACGGTTTTAAACTGAAAGAGGGCAGATTTAGGTGAGATCTAAGGGAGAAATTCTTCCCTGTGGGGGAGGCGCTGGCCCAGGGTGCCCAGAGCAGCTGTGGGTGCCCCCTCCCTGGAAGGGTTCAAGGCCAGGTTGGACGGGGCTGGGAGCCCCCTGGGCTGGGGGAAGGGGGCCCTGCCCGGGGCAGGGGGGGGCACTGGGGGGTCTTTAAGGTCCCTTCCAACCCAAACCGTTCTGTGAGACTGTGATTCCTCTCAGAGCCTCCTCTCCCTAGGTCCTTCATGCGAGCAGCAGATCCCTGCCACCCCCTCGGGATGCGCGGCGGGTGACCGGCGGTGACACGGACGCGGGGTGGCAGTGCGCGCCCGGGGAGCGCAGCCCAGCTCCGCCGCCGCCCCTCACCGCGGCCTCGGGCCTTTGGGGCAGGGCCACTGCGGGGTGGGGACGGGCAGAACCTCTGCAAGGGGTGCTGCTGCGGGGGGATTTCCACCCCGGGGGCCGGTAGATGCGAGGGGGCTTGCTGCTGGCAGCGGGAACGGGGTGCTCTCCTTTGGGGTGCGGCGGGGTCAACCCCCACCCTTACTCGCAAGGTAAATAATAAATTAAATAATGCCCAGGGGTGGTCCTGCCCCTGTGTGCCCTTATCCTGCTCAGACCTGCACCCAAGGGCTGAGACTGGCAGGGATGTGGACAAGGCAGAGCTGCCCACACTTACCCAGGCAAGGCAACTTCACCTTTCCTCGTACTAAGGTCATAAAAATACTTTAGGAAGAGAGAAGAGAAAGCAGGATATATGGTAATTAACACAGTACCACAGTTAAAATGAATTATTAACACTGCTGCGGAGGTAGAGAGGCTTTGCCTTCTAGGAAGCAATAAAACAATTACGAGAACAACCTTTGGGCACACAGAACACTTCCCAAACGTGGGGCACAAATTTGCCCCCAAAAGCCCTTTGGTGTGTCCCCAGAGCGGAGGTGTCCCCAGGGTGGTGGCAGGTCCCCGCAGCGCTTGGTCTGCCCGTCCTCAGCACCCCGCTGCGGGCGCCCGCTTTACCCCGACGGCAGCACGGGGGGTCCTGTGGTGACACTGCTGCTGGGCTGGGCGAGGACACCTGGGGTCACCGGTCTGCTGGAGACCCCTCTTGCCCCACGGTGAGGTTTTCCTGCAGGACAAGGACCACCAGCTCAGCTCTGGTTCCCAGCTCACCCTTGCAAACCCCTCTCTGCCTCGCAGAAGCAGCCCCAGCTCCGCTTTTCCTCTGGGTCCTTGAACACCAATCTGCCGAGGCATCTGCTGAGCGCTGAAGGAAGGAGCTGCACCCCAAACCATCAGCTCCCCTTTCAGCATCGCTCGTCAGGGTCTCCCTGGAGGGGGGCTTTGTCAGGGCTTTCAGACTGAACATTTCAGCCACATCTGCAACATGGAGAAATGACACTGAGCTGTCTCAGTCTTATCAGTTTTGTATATCACAGCTTATCGCTAATACAGGGGCAATCCAATTGCTTTGCTACCGATGGGGTAATAAATGTCCTTAGATGGATTAGTTCTGCTGAATCCTAATCAATATGGGGAAGTTTATTGCACAGGCTTGGTACAAAACATCAACAATTACTGCAATATAAGTAATCACATTATGATAAAGAAAGCAAAACTGCTCAACAGAGATTTGTCTACATCCAGAGAGATTCCAAAGTGCTTCAATGATTGACTTACACAAAACACAATCTGTCTTCAAAGCATGTCTGCACACCAGGAAGGCAGGAGCGGGACCTTTAGACCCCACCAGCGCACCACCAGGTCAGAACAAAGTGATTTCTCTCCGCTCTCCCGGGAGCACTCCGAAGCGCACGCCGCTTCTCGCACGGTGAGTGTTACCCTGCAAACCCTGGCGATACGCAGAGTGCTGGGACCAGCCCAGGGCCTTCTCAGAAGTGGATTTTTTTTCAACCAATCATTTTGATTTGAAGGAAAACCACACAAAAGTCCCTCACAATAACACAACTGTTACTATGCCTACATAGTTTTGAAGTAACTATCACCATGTCTACGCTTCTCTCAATTAAGATTATTTGGTTAATGCAAAAGAAGAATTCTCTGTGTGTGCATGAACAAACTGCCCTTAGTTACATCTGCAGATCCTGTGAGGCAACGAGCATGGCCATTATCTGAGAACAAACCACAGCTGCAAACGATGCACATGCCCCAAACACGCCTGGGTTTTGGTTGTCCCTGTGCAGAGCTCTGGCTTTGGTGGTGGATGATGGTGCCTCTCCTGTGGCACCGCAACCCACCAGCTGACAAATTTTAAGTACGCAATGGTTAAAATGCAGCAAGATTAAATTTAGAGAGAAATTAATCACCACAAAATGGCAATTTATGGAGCAAGCTTAAAGATATTTTCAGGCAAAAATCCTGTGCCTTAGTGGTACACTGACTTGTTTTTTCAGCTTTGATCTATCTAGCTGCCTGCCAATTCAGCTCAATCAGGCCATGCCGCAGCGATCTGATACGGCCGTGCTAATGGGAGAAATTAATAACAAACTGCCTTCCTGGGAATTACAGCAGGAATGCGTGCAAATATTTATCTCTGTGGAACTGGGTTGTGCTTGTTGGGTAACACACAAGCCACTGGGGACCACCGGTGCCCTGAGCTTCCCAGTACCAGTTCCTGGCCACTTCCAGACCTCGCAGGGGGATTGTCACACTGGAGGAGAAAATTGCAGCGAGAGTCACGAGGCAACTCTGTGGGCTGAAGCAGGGGCTGGCAGAGCAGGAGAACAACCAGCCAAGCCAACCCTTAAGCAGGAGCCTAAACATTGATTTGATAGAACTGCAGAGGGTTACCAGAGCTTTGGTGGTGGTGAAGGTGATGTCCTTGTGGAGGAGGCACCCGAGCATGCTCTGAAATGCAGAGCAGGTGTTACAGGGAAGAAAAAAAACAGCTTAAAAAATGGTGTTTGTTGGTTCAGCAGCACTTGTACCAGCATGACATTATCACTTGCTTCGTTCTCATTTCAGGGACTGTTTTATAAAAGTCTTTAAAGCAGAAACCGTGTTGTTGTCCTGTATTCATAAAGAGTAGGGGATCAAAAGACAGGGGTGAGCTATGTAAAGCATTCAGGTTCATTCAAACCACAGAAGTTTGAGGAAATATGCACAAAGTTCTTACTTTATGTGAAGTTCTGCCTGGAAGTGGTTCACAGCAAATAGCATCTTACTACTATTGTTTAGAAACAGTGGTTTTGTGTTAGAACTCTGCAAGTTGTCTGTAGAGCAGGGGAATTTCTCTCAAACTCTTGCAATTTCTGCTCCTGGCCTCTTCACTTTTTTCTTTTCTTTTTTTTTCCCCTCTGTGATGTCACTCACATCACTAGTTGGCTAAAAATGACCGGTTTTGGGTTCCATACTCAGTATGTTGGTGGCACCTCTACTATTCCATCCGCAGTTTGCTCAGCAATGCATGGCTAGACTTAAGAAAAATTTAGTGCATCCATTTTTAAACTCTGGACATAAATATATTTAAAAAAAATAATTAAACATCAAGACCTGAGCAAAGACTAACTGAACTGCAAGCTACAAAATTCACTTTATTAAATCAAGGGCAAACTGGAGGCAGAGCAAGAGAAAATTTCCAGCAACAGTAGCACCACAGTCTAAGGTAAGGGATTCACAATCCGCTTTATAATACTATTGTTTGGAGTACAATGCTATTGTACAGCAATTATATGAGCTACTTTGATGGATTTCACCTACAATGTGTAACAGATCTGAAATTTAAAATAATTATTTCTATAGCAATAAATGTAGTATAACTCATCTATGATGATTTTCTTTTTATTATTAAAAAAAAAAAAGATAGTGTGCTTTTTTTTATTTATTATTTTTAAAGCTATAAATTAGATTACTGGCTTTTTTTTTTTGCTGAGAACACACACAAAAATGATGTGGACAAGATAAGTTCTTACGCAAGCCCACACAGAGAGGCTGCCCAGTTATGTAGCAGCAGCTAGCTCACTTTGGATGGCTGCAGGATAATGGTTTAATCAGACAGGTGCAGAAAATTGATCATGTAAACATTTGCACATCACAAAACTGAAACAAAGACAGGAAAAAAAAACCTCAACCATACATGGTTTACTTCTTAGTAAAGCCTGCGCTTCTGGGATTTATAATTCTAGATCTTCTTTTTTCACTTTCTGCTTTTTTTTTCTTAATGCCTACTTGCTGGTTAAAAAAAAAAAAAAAAATACAAAACACCTGCTCATCTATAAACTTCAGATTAAATGAGATTAAAATTTAGCTGACAGCTCTGTCCTGCAGATAGGAAACCAAGTTCCCTCCCCTACATCAGTGCTCACTCTGTATGGGCATTTCCACCTGGATCCCACAGAAAGCCCTAGCTGAATGTGCTTCATTTTAGCTTCCACCTCATCCATAAATCATTTGCAACATGGGGCAGCTCCCTGCTCACAGAGCTCCCTGCCCATCAGCTGCCATCTCAGACCTGCAAATCGCACGTCGCTGGATGCCGTGGGTGACCCCGGAACGGCAGTTTTAGGGCTGCAGCTGGATGAGTGTGGCTCAGGCTCAGCTGAAGCTACCCAAGATAATTAGACAAGTTTTTCTCCTGGAAAAAGCCGGATATCCTTGTTGGCAGCTTGAGAGCCCTTCGTGGTGGTCACGGCGGGCACGGTTCCTGCTCTCTTGAGGCTCTTTGGTAACACACTGCTTGTTGCTGCAGGGTGAGAAAAGGAGTAAATAAAGGGGTTGTGAAGTAATTGTAAGTGATCCTAAAAGACAGCAGCTGGGTGATTGTGGCAGTGAGGAGCTTGTAGGCACTTCACATCTCTGTTGTTAATGGACTGATGCTGGGAAAAATTTAGCATGTTAATGCCAGCCCAGAATACATCTACTTAGGAAAAAAAAAAAGCCTCATTCAGATGGTAACCTGAACCTCAGGATCACATCAGCTGGGCCAGCACACGAGGAAATCTGGGCCTCCAGCTTGCAAACTGGCAACTGCTTCATTACTTTCAGCATGCCAGAACTTCTGCCCATGTCCCCGGCCCTAAAATGAGGAATAGAGGGAGTGCACTGGCTCAGCTGTAGTGGTGTACATCAGAAAAGATTAAATGAGCATTGGGATAATATTATTCCAGATTTCTGGATGTAAATAAGGACTTTCAACTCTTCCAGGACATCCTTGTTAGCTCCTCCTTGCTTCAAGTCCTCCAGATTTGTGGGCATTACGGCATTGAATAAAAATCACCATTTTTCAAGTAACCCATCCAGCCTCTCTCTAGCTGCAATGAGGAAACTACTGAGGCCCTGTTGAAGCCGCTGCCCAGTGTCAAGCTACACACAGCTGGGGTGGCTCGAATGTCTTCCCTGCTGTTTGCTGAGGGCACAGAAAGCTGTTTTGTGCAGGCAGATGTGGTTGGCCAGCTGCGCACTTATACACACACATCTGGGGAAGAAAAAAAAGGAGGGGAACCTGCCCGAAGAGGATGCTGTGCCAGCTGCACCACCGCAGCGCTTCAGCCTGCGCCGAGAAGGGAAGAGAGCATCGCCGCCGCCCCGTCCCACGCTTCCCACCAGTGGAGCAACGGCCACGGGGAGAGCTGGGTGGGAGCTGAGTTTGCAAACTGGGAGTTCACAGCTGGGGGAGCTGCGTATTGTCCCCAACGTGCGGTGTGCAAGGCGTGCAAAGCACGGCAAGTGATGGGTGCAAGGGCTGAGCCCGTCTCCCACCGCTCTGCAGCGCGAAGGGGTTGGCGGGTGGGCGAGCAGTGGGTTCCCGTGGGCGTCCAGCCCCAGATGCTGCTGCCAGCCCCAGCTGGCAGGACTCAGCTCGGCACCGTGACGGGTGGGAATGAGGTTCACTATAGCACTGAGTCTCTGTCGTTTCCTTGTTCATATTTCCCGAATGCTTTGAAGTGATTCCGATGCACTAACAAGTATGAAATGAACCACGTGATTTGCGCACACCGAGGTTTTAGCTGCAGTGGGGGTTATGCAAATCTCAAACAAAGAATTTTAGTAGAGACTCTTTAGGATAAAACATTACAGTAATCAACAGTCAATTTTTAACTCAAACAAGGAAGTCATTCCTATCTGAAATAGAGATACCCAAACACTGTTTCTGTTCAGATCTGAAAATGGATAACAACAATCTGTACAAAGATAAACTGCAGGGAAGAAAAATAAAAAAGAAACAAAGATAATTGGGGTGTGGCATGAGATATTTGAGGATGTTGGCATTCCTGAGACCCACAGCATTTCCTATTGTTTCTTGAACTGACAAAAAAAAAAAAAAAAAAAAAAAGAAGAAAAGAAAAGAAATGGCTTGATGCCATGGGTCTGCAGACAGCAGGGCAGGACCAAGTGCCACGTCTCGTGGCTGCTGCTGGCTGCCCAGTCCCACATTTGGCAACCACCGAAGCAACTCTATCATGCTTCTGTCCATGCCCACTTGTGTGGGTCGCAGAGCTATTAGCACTTTTTTTTCTTTTCAAAAATTCCCTTATCTTTGGGCTAGGCCATGTCAGGGGCTGGGGGCCACCAGGGATGCAGGGGCTCTGCTCCGAACGGCCATCAGAGCGATCTGGGGGCTTACCCTGGCCAATCCCAGCCACAGCCTCTCTCTTCTATTTGCTAACACAGACATCAACAAAATCCCACATCCAACGTGAGGTTTCGGAAGTTTGCTGAGCGAACATTTGTGAAGACTGGGCATGGTGCTTCTCTTTCTCTTAGCAGCTTTGCTGCAAGGTGAGTTGCCACGAAACCACTCTGCCGCCACTTACAGTGATGAGAACAGGCAAAGCTGGACCTGGGGACACAGCCACGTCCCTGGCTAAATCCTCACTTGAACACTAGACATCTCCACCTGCAAAATGGAAACTGGTTGAACTTTCCTGCACGCTAAAAGTCTGCAGAGAACTAGCAAAGGCACGGCAAGAGCTGAGAAGGAGAATCCCAGCTCTCTGTCGCTCAGCACTGCAGCCACCAGTGCCAAAGGTTTTTCTTAGATGTTTGCTGTTAACTGCTGCCCTTGACATTTAACTCCAGACAGGACCGTCAGGGCTGACGGGGGTTTTGGGCCTTGAGGGTTTCCCCACCTGTGAAGTGGCACAGGGCAGTGGCTCCGTGCCGCCAGTTACCCTCCAGTGCATAGCGTGGCACTCAGGGAACGTAACACACCACATCCAAAATACCCTCTGAACTTTCTGAGCCAGGTGTCCCACTGGTGCCTCTCATAATCACATCCCCAAAGGAGCTGTGCTGGTTTTTGCCAGATGAGGGTCTGGTTGTGTCTGAGTAACCAACAACCTCTGTTTCTTTCTTTCTTTCCCCAAAAGAGCCGGTTTCAAGCACGTTGTACGGATCCAGGTTTTTGACAGGTGAGGTTGGCGGATCGATCGCCCATCAGTGCTTCTACTCCATCACGCCAGCCAACAAACACGACCGAAAATATTGGTGCAAAATAGCAGGAAACCGAGTTTGCTACACCATCATTTCTACAACCGGCTACACCTCAAAAGACTACGTGGGGCGAGTGTATCTCGAGGACATCCCCGAGAATGGCACCTTCGCCGTGACGATGACAGAGCTGAAGAAGAGCGACACGGGGACCTACCGATGTGGCATCGGCCCCACCAACAGAGACCTGTACGTCAGCCTGAACCTGACGGTTTTGGCAGGTAGGATGGTGGCAGGGGAGAGGAGGCTCCGCTCCCAGGGAGCAGCCTGGGGACAGACGCTGGAGCATCCACGCACAGCAGGCATAGACTCATTCTACCCTGTGCTATTAACCAGATATTTAAAACGATGGGGTATAAAAGTACCCAGATTTGGCCAAATCAGCTGCTCATAAAAGGAAACTCTCTCCTGCCTGGCGGGGGGCTGCATGGCAGACAATGCCTGATGTGCTCTCTCCCTACAGATGCCAGTGTGTTGGGGCCGATTGAGCTTGTCTGGGGGAAGCTCCGTGGCTCTGTCACGGTCCTGTGCCCATCTGGGGACAGCCAAAGTGGCAAGAAGAGGTTCTGGTGCAAACTGGGGAGAACTGGCTGCGCTCTCATAGCCGACACTGATGGCTACGTCGAGAAGAGTTACGAAGGACGAATCTTTATCACTCCTCAGGAGAGCTCAGGAGCTTTCAAAATCTTGATAAATGACTTAAAAAGGGAAGACTCGGGGCTGTACAGGTGTGGGATGGGAAGGCTCAGTGGTCGGGACGGCCCACGGGTGGTAGCTCTGCAGGTGACAGCAGGTAGGACGGGGCACTGGGGGCTGCACGTGCTGCGCGGGTTCCTCGCAGCCCCAGATGAGGAGCATGAAACGCTAACACTGCCCTCTCCAACCTGCAGCCTCCACCTTTCCCAAGAGACCAAAATTTCTCAGCGGCACAGTCGGAGGCTCCCTGTCCGTGAAGTGCCACTATGATCCCGAGGGCAACTACGACAAGAAGTATTTGTGCAGGTGGAAGGAAGCGAGCTGCGAGCTGCTCGTGGATGAGGATGGGTTTGTGCACGAGTCCTACAAAGGGCGAATACAAATAGCCAGCAGCGACCAGGAAAATGGGACTTACACCGTGGTGATGAGCCACCTGAGGGAGGAGGATGCAGGATGGTACTGGTGCGGGGCTAAAAACGGGCACACAGAGCACACGTCCTCTGTGAAGCTGCGCATCCAGAAGGGTAGGTGGTAAGATGGCTTGGAACACAATAAATCCTTTTTCTTAAGTCCCTCTTTCCTCTACCTCTTTGTGGGCATGAGAATAGACTCTCCTTTGTACTATGCATAAATACAACAACATTATGAGAAACATCAGCTACACGTTTCACCTTACAGTTATTGGCAAGTAACTGAGGTGATGGTAAAGGTTTTCAGAGGCAGAGATGCAAGCTGAGCTTTCAGAGAATATTTAGTTAGTCTGAATTATATTATCAATCATTTATGATGCAAATCCCTAGTATACAACATCCTGATCCTAGCAAGTACAGCACAGAGGCATGTGCTTTGCTCTGAAGATAAGCTGGTTTATCTTGCAGTGTTAGAAACTGATATATAAATACGCAGATCCGTGTAACTGTTCAGCTGGCAAAGACAGAAATAGTGGGGTTAAAGTATAAATGTTTGCCGAGTATTAATGGGTTTTCATTAGTACTCCCAAGCTGCTTTCTATAAGACTCAAAAGAAAATAGAAATGCTTGGGTCTAGTCATATCATGCTGCATATTATTCCATGCCAAGATGCAAGGTGAAATGTGTAAATCTCTGGAAAATCTAATGTGCTGCATCTGCAAAAAGAGATATTCAAGCCTCAAAATTATTTTCTCTGTAGAAACCTTCTCTTCACAAGACCCAGAAACATCCACTCTTGTGACATCCACTTTATCAAGCCCAGCCACCTACAGCACAACCACGCAGAGGAGCATCACGGGCCTGACATACACGATGGGCACCGTCACCGAGATCACCAGCACCCCGCTGCCCACCGCCCCCCCTGGCACCTTTGTAACCTCCCCAGGCAAAATCTATTCTCGTGAGAGGTAAGTTCACAGCCACGTTTCTCATTAGCACCAACTTGGTGGTTTACAACCCGTCTGCTCCATTTCCCAGAGCTCTACACAGGCTCCAAGTTGAAAACACCAATAAGAGACATTAGTAATTAGAAAAGCAGAGTCAAGGTTATCTCATGTCTGTCTGCGGCATGTATCTTTGAACTTGTCTCTAAATCTTCTGGTGCTGGTCGCTCCTGTAGATCAGATTCCAGTCAATAAATGTGCTCCTGTCTGTTTTCTTTTGCTCAGTGTGAAGCCAGGACATTAGGAAACATTAAGATTGAGCAATAACATTGGTGAATCAGCAGCTGCTACACAGTTCACTGCAAGCTTTATCCCAGCCCTTAGAGGCAGCCAGCAACCAGGGCAGCGTTTGGGTGCTCTGCGTTGCATAAGGAGCTATCTTTGGACCAGGTTAATCAAAAGGCTGTGAGCTAATTTGGCCAGTAATTATTCCGCGGTGCTTCTCTACAGCAAGTCCTGCAGCTCGCCCCAGTGCAAGTGGTTTCCCCAGTGAATTTACCTTTGGTTCTTCCTGTTGCACGGGATGGCTGCGAGCAGCTCTTACACCTTCCACCCCAGCTGTGGCCACTGCCCAGCGCCGCGGGATTTGCACAGTTGGTGCCGATGCATCAGTTGTTGCAGCATCAGGTGTAACTGAAGATAAACCACAAAGTCCGCAAATCCAGTTCAATATCCTGAGCTGTCCCCCCCATGCACCTTGAAGCTCACATCTGCCTCAGTGACCCCCAGCACAAGAAGCACCCTCCTATCCCTTCCCAGCCTCCCTCAAGCTGTATCTCCCTGCCATCCAGAGAGAGGAGGGGAGAACATGTTACCAGTCACAAATCATGCTTTTTTGTAAAGGGTCAGATTTTCCACCATTCCTGGCAAAGCTCTGTCTGCCTGTGGAGCTTAGATAGCACTTACATAATTTTAGCAAGGAGACAGCACATAGACACTCTCCAACAGCATGAGAGTCTACAACAACTCAAAGAAAGATTATGAACCTTGCTTATGAATTTGTATGATGAAAACAGCTCCTTTTACTTTTGGAGGGGCTCATTCCACTGGGAGCATAAACCCTCAAGGCAGAGCAGAGGTAGCTGTAGAAATTTTCCTCATAAGCCAAACTCCAGATCAAATGATTTCATCTCTACTTGACTTTGTTGACTGTTTGCCTTTAGTTTAGTCAGAGTTTATAACTCCCTTATACTCTTTGGTGTAAAAACAACAACCTGCATTAAGATGCCTCAGCCAGCCCATAACCAAATCAAACTCCAATTTAATTCTGATCTTTCCAGCTCATCAAGCAAATCACGCCTGCTCCCTGTTGTGTTATCGGCTCTCATTTTACTGATTTTCATCACTATTGCTATTTTCATCCTGGCCAAAATAAAGCTTCAAAAGGACACAGGTAAGTTGGCCAGGCAACATCTTTCAGGTTGTGGTTGATGTTTTGCAATGGCTTTGCTTGTGATTTCCATGAGCTGGAGTCTGACCCACTGAAGATTTCCATCTCTGGAGTGAAGTATCCATTCTGCAGCCTGGAGAAGTTGCCTTTTTTTTTTTTTTTTTTTAATGCTTAAACAAAAAGCAAATGAAGGAAACGGAAGTTCTGAAGTCCTGCTGAAAGCAAGGCTGAGTTTTTGTGTATAGAAGATTTACAGCTCTGTCAGTGCTCAGAAATCCTGAAGGATATAGGGCAGACACCTGCACGGTGCGAGCAGCTACGTGCCAAGAGGTTTCTCGGGGCCAAATCCAGATTGCTCAGTGCAAAACTGACAAAGACTTGCCCCCAAAATCCTTGTTAATGACTGATTTTCAAAACTACATGCATATATCTTATTCCATAACATTTATCCTAGAGATAAATTTAGGGACAAAAACTTTCAATGTCGACAGTGGTGAGTGGAAATACATTATTCACAAGCATGAAATGGGGAAATTATGGGCCTAATCCGGTGTCTCTTGTGACATACTGGTATATTTAACCAGGCATTGGAGGACATGTTCCCTCCACTGCATGCATGTGTTTTTGTTTTTAAGGAGAAGAAAGAACCACCATAGAAAACTTGGAAGCAGCGTCTGTTGGGGCTGGTCTGAACCCTGAAAAAGAGCAAACGATGGAGGAAACACCAAGTCCAGAAAAAGTGCACAAATGCAGGACAGACTCTGGCAAACGTGGGTGGGCATTTTCTGGAACTGGCACTGCAAGGGTCATCTCCATGATAGAAGAGAATAAAAATAAGTTTTAAGCAGAGGATTTGCATTTTAGTGTGCAAAAATACCTCCACAAGATAGACACCAAATTGGCAGTCCAGGAATTATAATCCCACAGTTCAGGATTTATGTTCTGATGCCAAACCATTGCCTTTATTCTTTACCAAGAGATGTTGAATCACAGATTTCAAAAGACATGGATTAAATCCTGTGAGATTTATAAATTTATTATAGGGTTGATTATAGTTTTTGCTTACGCATAGTAAACACGTTATCGCTCTTCCTGCTTGCTTGTTTCAATAAAATCTGATTACTTATGACCTCTTGCAATATTGCACAGAAGCAATTCCTGTTCACTGTGTTGCAAAATCATATAATTTTCTTTTGTCCTGCTTGTGCAGATAATCTGTGCTGTCCTTGGAAGATTCAGGATGACCAATTTACGTGTAAGAGTTGGTCTTCTGTCAAAATAGAAAAACACTGGGCCTCACTTGGAATAACAATACTCTTTAGAGGAAAGCTCTTGTAGAAAACATCTGAACAAATATTTTTAAATATATCAAATTTGTGGAAATTCCTATCAGCAAAATGTATTCTTCTCCATTAAAAAAAAAAAAAAAATATATTAAACTTAGTAGAATAGTGGTTTGAAAAATCTGGTGATGGCATTTTATATTCTCATTATAATGCACCTAGATCCAAACTCTCTGATCGTATAAGCAGGTGACAATATTTTAAAGTCAGACAGTTGCAGAGGGAAATAAGCAACCATGATGATTTGCACTATCTGGAACCACCTACCACCTCTGTGCACAGCACTGCATGTACACTCATAATTCTCTTACTATTTAGAACATCCACTGGCTTGCTCAAACAGAAAGCAGATCTACAGATACCATATTTTTAAGGCTATTTAGAGAATATATTGTAGGTGTCAAAAGAAGCCTTCAGAGTGGCTTTAAAACCAAGGCCATGATGGTTCAAACCTAGAATATTTTGTGGCGAGTGATACAACTTGCTAAAACTATACAAGTTTTATTGCTGTTTGAGAGATTTTACTTTACAAAACAAGAAGATGTATGAAGGGCTCTTGCAGTGCAAAATATAAAGAATGAAAGGTACACCCCCTTAAACCCTTGAAAATAAACATTCAATATTCTATGAAAAACTTCTAAAAAAAGAACGTAAACCAGAAGTTAAATGTGCTTTTTGTTTCTAGATGTCTGGCCTGGGGTAAAGCCCAGGATAAGTCTCCTTTTAAGCTGAGCAGGAGGTTGCCTCCAGAAGTCCCTTCCAACCCAGGTTTTTCTAGCTTTTTGTTCTCAGGACTCCCTGAAACAGACCCATTTAAAATACCAAGTTTGGCATAAAAACAGGAACACCCATGAAATTATAAGTAAAAATATTGTAGAGAAGCAGGGTCAGGTCACAGCTTCGTGGGGGTTTTGTTGTTGTTGGGTTTTTTTTGTTTGTTTGGGTTTGTTTTTTTTTTTTTTTTTTTTACAGTAGTGCTATGGGGGTCAAAAAAATACTTTTCAAGGTGACTGATGAAGTCTGGAGGCAGAAGCCCCTTCCATCGAAGCCCCCACGTATAGGAGCTCAGATTTTTCCCGGCAGAAAGCCAAGGCACAGCTATACACTGCAAAGAGCCCGGCACCACGTGTTGCTCACTGCCCCGCTCGGAAGCCGAGAACAGAATCCCTGCAAGCTGCTCAAATGCCACTTGCTACATGGCTTGTAGAAGAAAATAAAATAATGTATCTGTAATCAAGCTATTTACGTGCAACCCTGACTGTCTTGCAGGGGCAGAGCACCCTGAGGGAAAGGTAAAGCTGGGAAGGGGGTGTGGGAAGATAGGACCCTCATGGCTGCAGGTTTGCTCAGTGTTAGGCAAAAAATGAGGATTTTCTGATTTTTTAAAAAATCCGTATCTGCTGGATCACTTTGCAACATATAAATTGTATCTGACTTCAGTCTACAAAAGACACCCAAATTCTCTAGTGCTGTTTTACTTCCACCTCTCCTGCAGAACTATCCACAGCTCCAAAATCAAACCAGTTGAGCCCAAATGCAGCCCAGATCCCGACAGTAGCTTTGGTTTGTGTGCTCAGATTACATGCTATGCTGCAAACTATGCTTTGCCCCCACCCCCCCCCCACACCCCCCCCAAAAAAAAAAAAAAAAAAAACCACCACCAAGCTCAGAGTTGTTTGTCTTCTGGATATGCCAAAGCGCTTTGGAACCTGTGACGCGGCAGGAGGACGCTTCCTCCTCTGTTAAGGCAAGTAAATATATTTGCATGAGTTTTAACCAGATATATAAATATATTTGCATGGTTTTAACCAGAAACCTTAAGGGTGAAGACAGTAGCTTGGTTAAAGAAACTGTTTACCCACCCTGGACTAACTTCTCTTTCCCCAAGATGCACAAGCAGGTCCCCTTGGGTGGTTTCTGCCAGGTCTGCCTCTGCTCCCGGCCACACCACCTTCTTCCTTCACCACCCTCGACAAGCCCAGGGTCTTTAAAACACATCTCTGTGCAAACTGCGGGATCAAGGCAAGGCAAATGGGGCAGCCAACACACTCACCCAAAGGAGAGGTGCCTGGGAGAGCGGGAGGTATAGGAAAGCAAACACACCTGTGCCTGTCGCAGCCAAGCAAGCGCGACTCTATGCCCAAGAATAAAAACAAATGCCAACAGCAGCCAGAGAAGCAGCACCGGTGGGAAGGACGTGGCTTGCAGGGGGCTCAGCCTGTGTTCCCATCGAAGGGAGATGGTGGCTGCTCTCTCACTTCAAGATCCCCACCAGATCATCCTGTGCAAGCCCAGCAACAGCCTTCCTCGCCTCAAAAGCTCCTTCCTCACCACAAAAGCTGCACATTCACGGAAAGAAGGGAGCTCGATATCCTTAGCTAGAGGAAAGGTGCTTCTGAGGCTGGCTTTAAGATCTGACAAATTTGCTAAACATCCCAACTCCAGGTCAGGATCTCACTGCTCTCAGGCACGGCAGAAACACTTGGAGCTCCCATCCTGTTTAAGCTCATCAGCTTTCTGAGATCAGATAAGAAAAGCTTCGTGTGACCCTCTAGTTAGAAAAAATTTCTGCTTTTGCATCATTAGTACAAGGTAAAGCAAGTTAATGATTCATCCCACATAATACAAATACTTTAATCTTCATTAATTTTACTTTCTCATATGGTTCCATTTCTGACAACCCCACAATTCACCAGGAATTTTTATTTGGGCCTCTGACATGCTTATAGCAGGAGAGCAAAGAAATGAGGTTGAAGGTGGCAGCAAAGCTCCTGTTAATTATTTCTCACTTTAAAGAGTTTACAATGTTTTTGATCTGCACTGACAAGACCAACTCTTCCCACCCAGACTGAGAGGAGGCAGAGGGGCTGGAGAGAGCAGAGAAGGGAGACAGGCCTGCTCTGCCGGGATGGCCAGCCAGGGGCTTCTCAGGGACACTGGTTTCCAAGAAATGTGCAACAACTTAAAAAAAACCCACCTGATTTCATCCCGATTTGACCTACAAATCTATTCCACTGTTGGTTGGGGGTATCATAAAACCAGAAGCCAGGTCAGTCCTTGCAGCAAGGGGTTCTCCTGCCCGGGATGAGGGGAAAGGCGGTCACAGCTCAAGGGTGATGTTGCAACGCCAAAGAGGAGGGGGCTGCCTGGATACTTGCGTCCTCAGACCCCACAAGCCCCCCAGGGTCTCTGTGCCAGGGCTGGGCACCCATCTTCAAACCACGGAATCGTGGCTGCCCCGGCTATCCGGGTCCTGCCCAAACACAGAGCTGCCTCAAGGGCACCCTGCTCCCAGCAGAGCAGAGCACCTCCCACCCACCTCACCCCCTGTACCCACCACACTCCTTCCTAAAGGATGCAGAGGGGCCCCGGGGCACGGCTGGGAGCCCACCCTTGGGGTGGCTGTTGTGCAGGGGTGGTGTGTAACTGGGATGGAAAGGACAGTGCGCGCCCGCAAAGTGACAGTGGGGCTGGGACGGGCACCGGCTTCCCTGCTCTCACGTGGGGCCGTGCTCGCCTGCCAGAGCTTTTGGATGCTATTCCTTTAAGGCACAACAGGTGGAAATGCAGGGCTAGAGGTACAAGGAGTATTTAAAACAGCCTGGCACTGCCAGAGCCCGTGTCCAGCAGCGGCAGGGAGGCAGGACACTCGCAGAAGGTCCTGGGGTCAGTCACCGAGATGCCAGCAAAACCAGGAGCGGGCGGTCTAAAAGAAAAAGGCAAGAAGTACAAAACAGCCTGCAGAAGTAATTTGGAGTGTAAGTAGTGCTTCATTATCTTTCTGAAATGCAAAGTCTTTTGTACTACCACTTTGAGATGGGGAAGGAGAATACAAGTCTGGAGACACTTTTAAGCTTCCTCACACCTGCGTGAAGGGAAGCAGCAGTTCCGAAACCGCAGTGAATAGGTGTGCGGGTCTTGCTGGAGGGGAGGCTGATTTCTTTTGAAAGAAAGTCAGAAGCATAGGATCAGGCTTATGATGTCTATGTCTCCTTCTCTGCAGTAGAATTTTAATCTTTCCTTTCTGGAAAAAAAAGGTTAATTATCATTACAATATTTGTACTGAGTTTTAATGCAGAAAATAACAAATGTTAGTAAACATTACTGTAGCAATCTAAGCTGTTGCAATTCAGTCTATGGTCATTACAGTTTTTTTGAATCACAGTGTGGAGATAGTCACTGGGATGCAGATTTTGAAATTTAAGAGGAGAATTGGTGCAGTTATGTCCTAAACACGGAGCTCAGAAGAGCTATCAAGTTTGTACAGTTAGAAGAAAGATATAGATACTGAAACATAAGTGAATGGGATGCACGTGGTGCCCTAAAACTGAAATAAGAGAAAGCTAGCAGACTCTTTTCACGTTTAGGCCAACAGTGAAGGGGTGGGTTTCTGCACACCTGGATTCTTACTCTGTAAAGGAAACTTTCATATAGGAGTTTTAATACATTTCATCTGAAGTACAGAGAAATACCACCTTCTAATAACAACTGTGCTTCTGCTAACAATACGTGTGCTGGCATTATCCACCCAGCCAGCAACTGTCACCGTACAGACTGGCTGCACAGTAAGTACTGTTGGATCATAGCAAGTTCCTTGCAATATGAGTAGTATTAAGCTAGAATAATAGTTCAATAGCACTGAAGTTGGTTTCACTTTCCAGCCCAAGAGACAAGAAACAAAAAATAAGAAACAAGCGAACCATGACACTCTTATCTGAAATGCAACAGGATGGTGCATGGGGTGTCTAACACCTTAAAGAGACACAAAATTAGGTCACAAGTTAGTGTTTTGTATATCTAATAGTTTAAAGGAACATAAAATTAGGCCAGCAGCACAATCTCAGCAGGAATTTCAGTCACTGCCATGAGGGCTGTCTGGTTATTCTTTTTCATTTGTTTTCTGGAATATATTGCTCATATAGGCCAATTTTTAACTGGCACTTACAAACATTCTTAGTTAGGAGGGTCACAAGTACTTCAGAAATTCCTAAAAACTGCTGATTTTTTAGTAGTTCCTGATGATCTTCAATTAGATCTGCCTAGCTGTTTCTGCTCACTGCATCACAAAATTAGCACCCCCTATTTATTCTTTCCATATTGTAAAGGAGGCATTGGTTTGGAACATGGCATATTTCTTTTCTGTATGTTTAGGTCAGCTTGATCTTTTATCTTTTTAACTCCATGAAAATGGAGTGAATTGGTGGCTTTTCCCCATCCCACTACAGCAAATAAAACTCACAGGAAGACCATCTATGCAGTGACCTTGATGGGTAGTATAAAGATGTAGATAACCCCAGTCCTGTGCAGCCAGAAGTCTGCTGCTGTGCCCTTCTAGGCACAGAAGTCTTCAACACCTCCATAAATCACTCCAGGCACATGTGCCAGTGCTCCTCCTCACAGTATAACCCCTGTCTCTACAACAGTTTGCAGCTTCCTCATGGTGTAAGTCTTGCTTTAAAAGGATTTGAGGGGGGAAAAAAAAAAATACTACCCCATTCTATATATTATTGTTTCTCAAATATTTGAACAACAGTAAACATCCTGCAAATCAGAAGGGCTCCTGGGCTAGAATTACAAATGTGACAACTAAATGTTTACGTTTCGCTGATCCCATAGCAAGGCCTTGACACTGGTCATTGTTAAGAGCAATAGTTAATAGCTAATGGACTGGACTCTGCTGATCCCTGGCAAGCTGCTTTAGGAGCATACCAGTTTCTGAGCTCAACACTGCAGCTGAGTCAGCAGAATTTGGGAACTGAACTCTCGTGTTTAATACCCAGCAAGAGCAGCTGCTTGCTCAGGTTTGCATAATTCAGGGGTCAGGTCCTCTTATCTTTCAAATCATTGTAAATCTGAAGATACTGCTCCCTAGGACTGATAGTCACAAAAGCACCACAGAAACGCAGAGAGGGTCTTGTAATGAATGATATCTAGACGAGCTAACCCAGTCAGAGAACACGTTCTGCTGGAAACCTGAAAGCACGATTTTCTCATGCCCTCACACCCCTGCACAGTTGCCCTGGGTGGGGGTTTCAGCAGCCCTACCCACGCTCACGGTCACACACGTGGCACCCCAAGCTGAGCATGGAAATGGGCAGCTAGGAGAAAGTTAATGCCATTTACCTGCCAATGGCTATATCTGTTTCTAAGCATATTTAAACTAAGTGTTTTGATTTGTTGGTATTAATCTTGCTAATGATTAGCCTATCCTCTATCTGATTTTGTACAATATAATTCTCTGAAATCCCTGTTGCATTATCCACACAGAGCAGCATATTGCAAACAGCCAGAGTGCATGGAGCCAACCCCCCAGCCCCCAGCATCCCGGGCAATACAACACTGTTGCCTGATCTTGGTGACACTGGTGTCCACGGGCCTGGGTTAAGAATGGAAAGTTCATGCACCAACATGCCAACTCCCATCCCCTGAGTTCACCTGTAACACTGGTTTTGTGCTCCAAAACGTTCAAAACCTGTTATGCTGGGATAGTGAAGAGAAGGAAGCTGGCAGTTTTGATGATGCTAAATGAAAGTAAATACACAAAAACCAAGATTTGAGTTCTAGCTAAAAAAAAAAAAAAAAGTACAGCCCCAGCCCACAGTTGGTCACAATCCAAAGAGGATTGTTGTTGCAACAGGGACTTTGAAAACACCAGACACATTCATGCAGCTGAAATCTTTCCCCACGGCTGCTGCTCTGCAAGTCTCACACAGCAAGGGGAGAGGGGAGAACTAGTACAAACAAGGTTTTAATCCCCACTCGCCTGATCAAAACGCTTTAAACTAACCCCAGAGACAGCCTGGCTGTCTGCAGTGACTGGCCCGACAGTGCGGGCGAGCTGAAGCCCAAAATGTCAGTGGTGGTGGCTGCCCCAAAACGCTGCCAGCCCAGCACTTCCCACCCACAGCTTTTGCCCCGTGCTGCCCAGACACCTTCCTACCGGGAATAACTGGGTTCCCTCCCCACGTTCCACCCGACCAGCCCATTGCGCTGCCTTGCACAGTTTCTCACTAGGTCTTTCATGCGTCGGGCTTAAGACAGCAGCTTCTTTTCCAGTGTGAACGTTATGAAGCACAGATTGTGCGTCCTGGTTTCCCTCAGCCTGTCAGCCCCCACGATCCCTCCTGCCTGGCAGCTCTGGTGCAGGCAGGAGCTCCGATGGCCACGCACAGTGCCACGCACAGCAGCTCTCGGACAAGGGCCTGGTGGCCTGTCCTGCCGCAGCGTGGTAGGACCAGGTTTGCCCGAGGGAGAGGTTTCCAGCATCCCTCAGTCCGAGGGGACACGGTGGTCTCATGCATTCAGTCCTTCCTGCTCCGAGAGCGATCAGAAACCCAGCACAGGCACCCGGACACGCAGGTCAGTGCCTGCAAGAGGGGGAAGCAGATGTGGACACACGCAGAGGGGAACCCAACATGGCTAGTGAGTCCAAACCACCCACATCACCCAGCTGCCAGGAAAAGTGGGTGGCAGATCATCACTGGTCTTTAAAGCCGGTGCAACCATTCCCAGACGGGGTGACCAAACGCAGCTTCTGCTGGAAGGTTTGGGGAGCACTGCACAAGCCTCGTGCTTTGTGCCAACCACCAGACCCCCACCAGGACTCAGGGAAAGCCCTCGGGACCAGCCATGGCATCGCTGCCTGGGGCAGATTTTTCTACCTTTCTCTGAAGCAGCTGGTGCTGCCAGATACAGAGGGAACATACTGGTACAGTTGTAGCCTTGCCTCCACTGCCAGCTCCAAGCAAGATTTCACCAATACAGTAACAAAGGAACACTATTTCCCCCCTCTCGCTACTCCTGAAAAGCTAGGACAGCCCAATGAGAAGCTGCAGCTGAGTGGCAGGAGGAGCACAAGCTGGGCATAGGCACTTCACCCTTTCCAGGACTGGGTCTTCAGTGGGCACCGTCACTGGGCGCAGGGCAGGATGAGAGCACTGCAGACCTACCAGCACACTCACCATAAACTCCCTTCCCAACTCCTCTGGAGGTGGCATACATGGCATTTCCTTCTGGTTTCAAGCCTCTTGACTCTTCTATAGTCTCCTGTAAACCTTTGCTGTCCCATCTCCTCTCTCCTTTCACCGCCCCCTCCCTCTGCAGAAGCATAAATACAAATCGCTTGCACAGCCACTTACTTGCACTCCCTTTTGTATGAGCTCTGCAGCCTTTTCTCTTCCCTGGAGCTCTGACATTTAGACCTTGTGCTCTGTCTAGAGACGGCAAATCCAGCAGCAAAGGTTCTTTGAAAGCAGGAAAGAACTAGAGCTCTTTTACCAACAGCTTGATAAAATTCTCCTCCAGCATCCCAAACAGCGCTTGCTCGTTGCAGAGTGACCAGTAAAGCTCATTTGCACCATTTCTGTGGGCTGGGAAGTGTCCCTGTCCGAGTGCAACCAGCAGCAGAGAGGGAGCTTCCAGCCATCCAGCTCAGGGGATCAGCATGGAAATACAGCACAGAGTTTTACGTAACTAGTGGCTGTGCTCGCTCAGACTTGCTATACATGGGTGTCTTCTCCATTCGTTCAGTGAGGGGGGGAAGTTTTAACAGCATCTGAGAAAACAGGACTAGAGGCAACTCAGAGCTGCAGAAGTTGCAGTTGTTGGTCATGCAAACACACAGAAGCCATTGTTCTTGTGTAGACACAAGTGCACATGTGACCACAGAGACAGAGGTGCAAAAATTCTTTCCTGCTCTAACATGCATATGAAGACCCTGATGCCACCACACTTGCACACGTCTTTCTGGACATCGCCATATCTTTGTTTCAAAAAAGAAGTCTTGGTAACCCTTTCCTACCTGAAAAATCTATGTTGTCTAACCTTGAAGTGGTCAGTTGCTTTGGAATCTAACAGATTATTCAAATTTTGCCAAGAAGGGCAAAGATGAACTGGGATCCTGCTTGCTCTGCAGAGCGAGGGATGGAAGGGAGTGAGGTGACCATCAGCCAGAGGAACTGCTGTTAACATGGGGCAAATATCAAGGCCCTTTCTGTGCCATATTGTTTGCTTTCTGCAGAATGTGTTATGTTTGTCTTGCTGGCTACTTCTGGGACATGTATGAAAGAGCATTTTTCATGCTCAGCGAGTTAATTATTAGCCATGGACAAGTGGCCACAGAGCAGTTAGAAATCACAATACAAGGAAGAAAGCACAACAGAACACCTTTCATCTTAACACGGAAATAAAAGACCTCTCCTTCTGCCGGGAATTACCCTTAATAAAATTATGTCACTTGACGCCCTGAAATCAAACTCCTCTAAATGTTTATAAAGACTTTCCTTGGCACCCATCATCTTCTCTAGAACTTGGAATAGGCAGGTAGATCAACATCCATGCTCAGGAAATGTATATTCCCGTCATTGTACTATGCAACGTTCAACAGCACACTCCATTCAGGCCAAAAAAAAAAATGGTTTAGTGAATTCAGAGCCTGGGATTCCTCTCAGCCATTGCACAGACCAAAACAAGGGGAAGGTCAGAAATATCCATCCTGAAGACTACAGACGCATTTCAAGAGACACACAATTTGGTTTGGCATTTCCCAATAGCCATCGCAGAGTCCTGGCCAAGGGTTAATTTTGGTGCAGTAGGTTTGGGTGATTATGCAGGTGGGACAGTGCTTTATGTGGTTTAAGTCTGATCCTTGGAGGCATGGGGGTGAGGGGTAAATCCCTGAATCTCTAATTTTACCATTAGGTAAGGAAAGAAAAAAAAAAAGTAGACATGAAAGTATTACCCTTTTTCTTTTTTGCGTGTTCTTGAAGAGACCAGGGAAAGAAAGAGCGGTAATTAAATACAGGCTTCTGACAAGAACTCTGCTCTATGACATAAGGAAGACATTTTTATGGTGAGGGTGGTGAGACACTGAAAGAGGTTTCTCAGAAAAGCTGTAAATGCCCCATCAGTGGAAGTGTTCAAGGTCAGGTTGGACAGGTCTTTGAGCAGCATGACCTAGTGACTTTCACTACCCCTGACCCTGCCCGTGGCAGAGGGGCTGGACTGGATGATCTTCAAATGTCCTTTCCAAACCAAACCATTCTGTGATTCTGTGAGAGCAGGTTTTCCTAAGGAGTGGTTTTGGCACCCAGGCTCACAAGTGAACAAGCCTTCCTTTCACTGCATGAACAACATTGAAAGAAAATATGACCCTAGCTATTGAACTATATTGTATTATCTCCTGGCAAGGGTCAAGGCGCGTTCGAGCTCCATGTTGCCACCTGACACTCATTCCTGCCAGCACTTTTGGGCCATTTTTGGACTTCAGCCTTGTGATGGGCTGTTCTAATTTACAAGTGTAGAACCAGATACCATTTCTCATTTTGAATCAAGTCTCCTCTGGTTTGGCCAAAATAGCTTTTTATGCTGTGCACACCACCGCTGTTGCCTGCCCAGGGGACGCTGTCCCTGGGACACTCTGCTCTGACAGGCACATTGGTGCCTTCCAGGTATTGCATTAACCAAGTTTGTCATAAGAACGACTCCCCTCACTTTACAGAAGGGAAGATTGGGGTGTTGGGATGAGACCCACGGGCAGTCACGATGCCATGCAGCAACACAGGCAAGAACAGAGTTATCAGCTCCCTCTTTCCCATTCAGTTACTTGGCAGAAGCAATTAAACGCTGTATTTCTCTCTAGCTCTAGTAACCACAACCCTCGTATCCTCCAGGCATGAGGATTATTAGATGACTTACTCTATTAACTTAATCATTTTACAAGTGTGTTTATTCACCAACTTCTGTGTCTTTTCCAGGGAATGCAAGAAAAATGGCTTTACTAGCGTTTGTCTTCCTTCTTGCCTTCCTCCCAGCTGAGTCTGCAAGCAGCAGATACCCCTCCAAGGCATCAAGTAAGTGTAATCTGTCTGGGCCGCGGGTCTTGTGGGTGGCCTAAGGCCAGAGGCGACATTATTAAGCAGGGAGCAGGGTTCAGGGAGTGTTTTTATCCCAGCAGTGCCCATCACTGCCGTGGGACCTTTCAGGCTCGTGATGCTGCACGGCCCCAGCTCCGCGTTTGCCCCGACACACCCAACCCGCCCTGCAGTCCCCGCGGGTTGTGCAGAACTGCTGATATTTACAGCCAGCACGTTTTCTTCCTGCAGTCTCAAGCCCTGTGTTCGGACCACGGCAGGTATACGGCCTGCTCAACGGGTCGGTTACCGTGAAATGCTTCTACCCTCCCACCAGCGTGAACAGACACGACAGAAAGTATTGGTGCAGGGAATCGGCCACGGGCTGCATGACCATTGTCTCCACCAGCGGCTACACTGCCCCAGGCTACCAGGGCCGAGCCTCCATCACCGACTACCCCCAGGCAGAAAACTTCCAAATTAACATCTCCGGGCTGACAATGGCAGACGCAGGCACCTACCAGTGCGGTGTGGGTGTCAACAGCAAAGGGCTCTGCCACAAAGTCAGTCTGGACGTTTCTAAAGGTAACTACAGTCTTGAGGATCCTTAAAGTATTATTTTCTTTTACTTCCTCTTCCCCACCCCACCTTTTTAATAAGGCTCCACAGATAGTCTGTTCAGTGTCTATGAGCTTAAGATGCCCCATGCTTTCAGGAAACAGCAGTTTTAATTTTCCATTGTACCCTTGCAGAATTAATTTTTTGACCAAAAAAATTGGCATAATTTTCCACTGTGTCCTTGCAGAATTAATTTTTTGACCAAAAAAACTGGCATAATTTTCCACTGTGCCCTTGCAGAATTAATTTTTTGACCAAAAATCTGGCATAATTTTCCACTGTGCCCTTGCAGAATTGATTTTTTGACCAAAAATCTGGCATAAAAATCAGATTAAATCATTTCAAGGTCGCAAGCATTGCTTAGATTCTGCTGACCTCTCTCAGCCACTAAAATTTAGGCAGGTGCAGTCCAAGGGCAGAACCGCCCATCACTCCGATGTACCCCCAACCCACGGCTGAGGGGGTGCGAGCCAGGCCCGTGCCCAAGTCCCCAGGGGCACGGTGTGCAGGATGGCACCGCGCTGCTGGGCAAGGCCCAGGGTGCAGAGCACCGTGCAAACTCCTGGCACGGCCCCTGGCAAGCAGGGTCTGGGAGAAACCCTGCTACAGGGCATGGAGCCCTCAGTCCTGCCGTGTGTGACAGACACGGGACACGGCTGGGTAGATTGTGCTCTGACCAGGAGTGGCACACGATCATCATAAAGTAGAGGGAAACCCTATGCTAAAAAAATAAAGCCTTCAGAGGTAGAGGGGAGGTGCAGACAGTTAGCGGCAGCAGGCAGTGACTGGTGTCTCTGTACGCACAGGCCCACACGTGCCCGAGGGAGCTGAGCTCTTCTACGTGAAGCTGCACAGCACTTTGAGCATGTCCTGCAGCTTTGGGGAGGACTATGAGAGCAAAAGGAAATTCTTGTGCAAGATGGACAAAAGCGGCTGCCGGAACATCATCGATAGTTACGGGGACGTTGCTAAGGATTACACAGGGCGAGTTCTGATGAGCAATGAGAACGATCCAGGCTCGTTCAGCGTCGTGATAACTCAGATGGGCTGGGAAGACTCTGGCTTGTACGTCTGTGGGGTTGGCTTCTATGGGGAGGATGGAGAAACAAAGGAACTGGATGTGCATGTCTATGAGGGTAAGCTATTTCAGTGTTTTTTCCCTGCATCTTTGCTTCGCTTTAGAAACATCACTAGCAGTCTCACTTTATTTAACAAGAACTTTAATTTCCCTATGCAGAGTGCTATTATCATATCCTCTTACCTAGATACTTCTTTCTATTCATTTAACTATCTGTAATGTGCTAAACCATCACTAATAAAGCTTGTATTAACACTTAGACAGTGGCTATCTATTTTCCCCAGTCTGGCTAGCCCAGAACTCCAGAAGGCAAATTCTGGCTACACATTTGAAACAAGCAAACTGTCTCTTCGAGTCTTATTTCCTTCAATCTCAAAATGACAGATGTAGAAAGGAAAAGCTCTATCCTTCCCCTAGCAGAGGGAATAAAATTTTGAAATGCCAGTACACAAAGACAGCAACCACTGAGTGAATTTGGGAAAAAAAAAAAGAAGGCCTGACAGATCTTTTGGAGTCAATTCCTAGCAGTGCCAGGACAGCCTCCTACCATTTGCACCCCTGAGCTTTACCTAGCCTTGCTTTTGCCAAAACAACTTTCTCCTTATTCTCATGGGAGAGCAACACGTGGACAAATGTTAGACATGTATAGGTGCTAATTTCATTTTTGTCTCCAGAGTCAAAAGTTCCTCAAGGAAAGCCTACAATAACTGGAGTAAAAGGAGGGTCAGTAACTTTTGAATGCCACTACGACCCTCTGAAACGTTCCTCAGTGAGGTACTGGTGCAAGTGGAGAAAGAATGGGTGTGCTCGGATCGTAGACAACTCTGGGTACGTGTCGGGTCTGTATGAAGGAAGGGTGGCCATGTTCGACAGCCCAAATAATGCGACAACGACCATCATCCTGAACCAGCTGAGTGACAATGACCAAGGCTATTACTGGTGCATGACAGATGAGGTGAAGGAGCAGCAAACATCAACTGAGCTGATGATCGTAGACGGTAAGGGTTTGCACATTGACAGTTCTCTGCCCGCTCAGTAGGTACAAAACAACCTCCTAAGCACCACAAAGAAAAAGACCTGGCTTTTGGGGAAGATACATGAGCTCTAACTCTGAACTTTTATCTCATGAGGCAAAATATTGTGCCAATCGCCCCACACCCCAGTACCTTTAAAATGGAAACACGAGTTTTCAGTTTTATGAGAAAACATTCACAAAAGTTTCTCATGCAAGTATTTCTTAAGACTTGCAAAAAAACTCCCAGTTTTCCTCTAGAGATGCATATACAGCATCTTTGATATTAATTTATCAATGTCAGGAGCACTTTCCCTCAAAAATACATCTCCTGGTTCACCATCTCTAGCAGCGCTGCTGACCACTGTTCCTACCACTGAAAGCACTAACACCAGCCTTGATGTTCTGTTGGTCCTTGCAGGAGAACCTGGACTGAAGGGAAAGAAGAAAGTGGAGGCGCAAGTGGGTTCACGGGTTGATTTAACTTGCTATTATCCATGCAAGTACTACTCCTACCAGAAATACTGGTGCAAGTGGACCAACACCGGCTGCAGCCCCATGTCTGCTTCCGACCAAAGGCAGCCGGGGCCAGGTGTTACCTGTGACACTGACAACAAGACCGTTGTCCTAAGCTTCAACCCGGTGGCAAAGACGGACCAAGGGTGGTACTGGTGCGGAGTGAAGCGCAACGGTGTCTATGGGGAAACCATGGCGGCATACCTGACCGTGACTGGAGGTGAGCTCCCAGGCCAAGGCAGGCAGGGGCTCTCCTGGTCCCCAGGGCTGGCGATCACGCTGCCTTCAGCCCAGCCCAGTCCTCTCCACAGCCACTAGGCTGCAGCACCTCAAAACAGAAGCACCCTCCTCCAGGCAGCCTCCCCGACTCCGTGCCAAGATCCCCCGGATTTTGCTTGCCGTAGATGTTTTCATCCACTCACTGGTTTTTGCACCCTGGTCATCAAAAACCCCCAGCAATCTAAAACTCACTTCTTTCCACACCATTTTTACTTTAACCCTGTCCTTATTAACTATTGCTATTATTATCTGTAGCATCATTTAGTTTAAGCAGCATTTGACACCTGTCAGTTGTAGGACTGCATATAGTTCAGAGAAGCATCTTGCTCCAGGGAGCTTTTTATCTTAATAAACAGAAAAACAGTAGGGAGCAGGAAAGGAAGGGCTATCACCAACAGCAAGGGGCTTAGTATCAGCTTTGGTGCAGTGTTTCGGAATTAATGTTTTTCTCAAGTAAGAATATTGTTAGAAGCAGAGAAAATATATAGCACTAGATATCCCACATGCAACCATCCTAAGGGGATAATGTTCAAAGTGAAAGCAGAGAGAAACAGCCTCATCTCGTTGCCTTCGGCAGGCAAAGAGCTAGAAAATAAAGCAAACCAAGTACTCAAAATTTGGTTTGGAAATATCAGAGGCAGAATTTAGAAACACAGGACTTTTGAAAAAGTATATAGGCAGACAGCGCCTACTTGAGATTTTTGCAATAAATTATTTGGAATGAGATTATTTCAAGTCTCTAAACCCCATTCTAAAGAGCCTCTCACACACAGCCAAAACCCACTGCAGCTCCACAGCCACCAAATGCACCCAATTAGTTTTTCTGTCACCATCTCCCCGCTGCTGCTCATGCGACTAACCAACCGCCCTTCTTCCCCAGGAGCTATAGGAAGCCGTGCCAACCACAACTTAAAGATCCTGGACATTGAGCCCCCCAGCCACGCCGAGCCCCCCAGCCATGCTGAGCCCCCCAGCCACGCCGAGCCCCCCAGCCACGCCGAGCCCCCCAGCCACGCCGAGCCCCCCAGCCACGCCGAGCCCCCCAGCCACGCCGAGGGAGGCTTTATTGCTCAAGGAAGAGCCAACAGCGATGCTGGAGTACACAATGCAGCTGCCTCTGAAAGGTTAGTTCCCTCTAAGCCTCTGTCATTTATTATTTTGGGGAAGTCTGTATTGATCTGTTGTCAGTACTGTGTTTACACCCTATGTGTGTGGTTTAGCAACCAAAAAGCAATTTCTTGTTCCTGAAGAAACATAAAAACATCAAAAAAAACCCAAAACATCAGATGAAAAGAAGCAAAGAAGTTACAGGAAAAGGCAAGACATCTTGAAGTTAATCTCTAGCTCAAGAAAATACAATCCTAGAAGGCAATGATTAGAGATTCCAGGTACAGAAAAACTAATTGAAAAATACTTCTGTCAAGATTAGAGAGCTTTCCTTCACATATTTGTAACTAAGCTGCTGAGGTAGCTGTTTCAGCACAACCTCTGTCCTACATTTTGATGTGTTTTTTATTTTATTTATGTGCCAGGACCCAGTTTGTTAACTGAATTGCATCACGCCCACTCAGATTCACCGTCCTATACAGATTTTAGACTGCTGGACATTCATATACATTATTCAGTCCTGAGTAATTAAAAAAAAATATATATTTCATACCTTAGTGATATATCTTTTCCTCTGTTCCAGCTCTGATCAAAGCCATGGCCTCAGTCCACTTCCTTTAAGCATAGGCCTTGTTGGTGCCGTGCTCCTGATCCTTGTGACAGCTTTTGCTGTTTATAAATACAGGCAGACAAAGAGATCTGGTGAGTCCCTGCCTTTTCTAGTCTCTCCAGAAGTGTCAGCAATATTAAGACGCAGGTGATACCTCGTGCGTGCCGCAGTCTCTGCTGGGCTGAGCTGCTCCCCTGGCACCCCACCATGCGATGGGCAGAGGAGGGACCCTGCTTCTCCCACTGACTCCATCCGTATGGCTCTAGCACCCAGCGTACAGGGCACCTGGGCTGAGACAGAGACCACCCCTCCGTGGGCTTTGCACGCTGTATTGCACAGCATTTCCTTGCACAGAGGCAGTTCGGATGCTGATGCATTTGCACCGACTCCAAGCGAGCGCACGGGGTATTCATTTCCTTCCTCTTAACAGACCTGGTGTCCGTCGGGAGCTACAGGACAAACATCAGCATGTCGGACTTCGAAAGTGTGAAGGAGTACAGCGCGAGTAACAACGCCTGCATGAAGGAGAGCCAGGAGACTCAGATAGGAGGGGAAGGTAGGTCGCTGACTGACGGGCTTGCTCTCCGTCTCTGGGGCGAGGGGTGCCACAGAACGGTTTCAGAAGGACCCTACAAAAGCCACAGCCTGCCCACCAAGGGCCCCCACACCCTAACACCTCTCTTTCTCTCTCTGCAGAGTTCACCACTGCCACGGCCGCCCCGGAAAGTGCTGCTGAGGCAAAGAAGGCAAAAAGGGTAAGAGAAGGCAGGAGAGAGCCCACTGACCTGGGAGACACCAGCTCAGCCCTCCAGCCTCTGCCAAAGGAGCTGCCTTCTCCCAGGGTCCTTATGTATACCCAGGTGCTCTCCATCTTTCCTGGATCCAGTCACCTGCTGCAGATCAGCCTCTGGGGGGGGACCTTAACCCTTTCCTGACCCTATGTTTTAACAGATATTATAACAGCAGTTACCTTGCTTCAAACAGTGCACCGAGTCAGCCGCAGGTAGCTTCAGGAAGGTTGGGGTTGGGTTTTTACCATAAGTATGAAACACTGGATAAGCAGATGGCCAGAAGCCAGAGCACATCCCACCTCCCAGCCTTCCCCCCATACAGGCAGTGTTTTGGGGGGCAGAGGTAGGCAGGGCAGTCTGTGCCATTGCAAGAGCTGTGACTTGCTCCTGTGGCCCCAGCAAGCCCTTGCCTTCCCCCCCCCCCCTCAGCTAAGATCATGGTCGAGTGGCATCACTCAGCAGGAGGTGAACGTGCCAGATGCAAGCCCTTCTTATTAAAAGTCCCTAACCAAAGGCCGTATGTAGGTGTTGTAGGTGCCAAGAGCTGAACTGGAGCAATAAAGGAAACTATCAGGAAACCAGTAAACCCAGCAGCTTTAGGGCAGGTGAGCTGGGTGCCAACACTCAGGGACAGGCATGCCACAGAGTCCCAAACCCACAAACATTTGGGGTCTTCCCAGGGCTGAGCAAAGGTGGGATGCTTTTGCATCGGCACCGGCGTGACCCTCTGGATCATCCCACTCGCCCAACCTACCTGTATCACCCCGAGAAGCTCACAGCCCACGTAACGCTGCCCTTTCCCCTGCCACGCACTGCTGTCTGTCCCTGGCTACTCACAGTGTCCTCCTGTCCATCCCCAGAGCTCCAAGGAGGATGCTGACCTCGCCTACTCCACCTTCCTCCTCACCTCCAGCAGCATCGCGCAGGGCAGCGCCGGCGGGGACAGCGCGGCCCCGGACACGTCCTCCCCGAGCTGGGAGGGCCAGATCTGAGGATGCGGGACCGAGAGGCGGCAGCGACTGGGACCGGCTCTACCTTGAGGATCAGAGCAAGACATCAGCAAGCAGCACTGTTTATTGCTACCACAATTTGCTATAGCTTGACCCTTTTTTTGCTTAAATTCAGCTTCAAGAGGTGATTTAGGAGGAATTGTCTGATGCCAAATGGAGTGGCTGGGCTGGAGGCTCGGGTCTGAGTGAGCAGGTCAGACTGGGGAACCACAGGAGCTCAAGTGGCTTAGCCCACCAACAGCCCCAGTCCCACCAGTGCCCTTCCAACACAGCTGGCTCTCCAAGTCCAGAAGGCGCATTTAAAAAAAAATCTCATTTTATTTTAAAGGCAGCTGAAAAAACCCTCTAGAGCATCTTGCACTTTTGATTCCAATCTTTCTCATCCAGAGGGCAGTACCTGCAGACCAGAGATGGTCTGAAGTGTTTTTATGCACAAGCAATAAAGAATACCACTGGCTTTCAGCAGACCAGGGGGACTCGCGGTCCGTGGGAGCGCACGGGGGGAGCACACCCAGAGAGGCGCAGCGAGGGTGTGTTTGGGGGGGGGGACTTTCTCCTCCTTTTCCTGCAGCATTAGAGCACCACATCTGGGGTTGCAAATGGCTCAGGACAGTAGAAGGAACCCACAATTAACGGAGATAAACAGGAAACGTTTTGAGTAATGTTTTGCATATGAATTTTCAGCAGCAGCAGGAACTTATCACAGCATGACAATTAGTATGACAACTTATTAGCAGCCTATATGGCTGATTAGGCAATAGGCACTGGTGTTCACTGGCACTATATCCATTTATGTAGTACAGACCAAATTCCCCAGAGCAGCTGAACCAACAGTCTCCCCTTTCTGACTTGGAGTCGGAACAGCTAAGCCCAATCCATGCTCGTCTGCCACTGAGCCACCCCGCTGAGGGTGGCCTTGAAAACCCACCCTTTGCTTAATAAACCTGAGCCACATGTCACTCACACATTTTCCCTGCCTGACTTCACGTTTAACCAGGCAGAAACAAGGATGACTGTAATTAAATGGTGTCTCTTGGTCTTATTTTTGAGAGTGGATGACTGAACAGGGACAAGCAATTTATTGATGCATAGATGTCCAGATAGCAGCACGACACTGCTGTCTGTCAGTAAGATGTGGGTGCAGAAAGCTGGATAACCCACAGATAAAGCAATATAGGAAGCAGCAATGATGAAAAAGTTGTGACAAAGCAGAGAAGCAATTCCACCTGAACACCAGAAATGGGCTGGGCTGGTGCCTGCCTGGAAAAGAGAGGGGCTGCAGAGGTGTCTGACAGGGCCAGAGCTGTTCAGGAGAGACCAGGCAGAAACTGCACAGATAAATTCAAATTCCTGAGCCTGTGTTGGTTACATGCAACTCTGATAGCAAGCCATAAAGTATAAAGAATGAGGAGCATCACCCTGGCTAGGGTCTGACCTGACGTTGTTGCAGTAACACCACAGGTATAATTCCATTTTAGTAAAATTTTAGCTATGTTTTAAAATGAAAACAGTACGTTAGCTCTGCAAGGTGCCAGGCAATGGCTGTTTGAGTTAGCCTACAGATGCTGACTTTTCATCAAGGATAAAGCCCAGATTATTCCTGAATCATGGACCTCCCCACAGTAAGCGCTGCGATGAGCTCGGGTCACTGGGAGTAGGGCAGCAGCTCCGATGGTATTTGTGCTTCCCCTCCCAGCTCTGCCTTTGTGTTTGCAGGGCTGCTCTCACATCCGCACTGCAACAGTCACCACCTTACTGATAGCAAGGCGAGGACCTCAAACGGCAGGTGAGAGCTCATCTGCCTCATCTCCCAGGCTGCATCCCCTCGGCACCGCAGTGGGAAGGGGCTTGGGTATGGGAAAGGTGCGGAGGGGCCGGGACAGGTCTGAGCCCGTCCGGAGTTGCTGGAAGTGAATGAATTATTCTGGTGCAATAGGAAAGGCGTGCGCTTGGAAACTGTCCCCGGGGGTGAGCAGTCATAAAGCTGGAGGAGAAAGCTAAGGTTTGGAAATTTCTGAGAAGAGAAAACCCCCTTTGCTCTCCCTTTGTAAATCTGCTTCCTCTCCAGCCTGCCTGCTGGCATCCTTTGCTCAGCTCCGCTCCTCCCACACTGCGCCAGGAACAACGAGAATGAATTAAAATCCCGGGAGAGGCACGGGGGCCAAGAAAGGTGGGTGGGCTGAGCATCCTGCCAGCTGGCTCTGCCTGCACCCCTCTGCCTGCCCACAGCTCCTTCCCACCGCTGACATTTCCATCTGGCACCTCATTTCCAAAAGGACACGGCCCTGGGCTGCTGCAGTGCTTTGCAGCGAATGGGGAAGTGTAAACTTAGTTTGGCATGAAAGCAATAAAACATGCATGGCTTGAGGCATGCAACTCTCGGCACAGGCTACAAAATCGATGATATCTGATAAATAATAACAACAATTGTGACAGCGTAAGCTGAGGATGTGGAATAAATCCCATACTTCTCACTCAAGTTGTGATCCAGAACCCATCACAATCACTGGAAAGGACCACAGGGACCTCACCAAGCAGCCTCATCTCCCTCTCCAGACTGTTTGCCAAACGTGTTGACTGATTTCCTTCGATCAGTGATGAGCTGCATCACCACCTCATTGCTAATGTTTTTTCTTTAATAGAAAATCATAGTATGTGAAAGATATCTGTCATTCTTAAATGGTTGATTTCAAGGATATGGTGTTGAAAGATCAGCTTTCATGAACGCTGACAGAGCATGGAGGGATGTATTCACCCGTTCACTTCCTGGCAGCAGGACAAATTAAAGTCACCCTGCAAAACCCATGAGAAAGAAAATTGAGAGGATCAAAGCCCTGAGAGGCTTTCCTTTGGCATAAACAAATATTTGGGGGAGGATAGTGAGCCATCAGGGAGATCTTTCCTTTAAAAGTGAATCACCAAAATCCCGCCCAGCATGAAGCACATGAATATGCGCTATAGGCAAATGCAGGTGAGCTCACCCAGCCAGGTCAGCAGCCCGGCCTTTTGGGGAAGGGACAAGGAGTCTCCTCTTCCTCTGAGCTCCTCATTCTGCTGGCACCCGACAAAAGGTGCAGTGCCCACCACGCTGACACAAGGCTCCAGCAACGCTGCTGTGCTGTCAGAGGTCTTGACCAGGGTCCTCCTGGGATGGGGATGAAACCAAAGCAGTAACTAGATTCTCCTTGAGGACACAAGGACCTTATTCCATAATAACAAAATCCTGCTAAAGATCCTCTTCTACATCTCAAGCCTCCCCTGGGTCACCTCTGTAACATCATTAAAAATTGCCCAAGCTGGGAAGGGCCAGCCCTCCATCCATCCCAGCTGTTGAAGCTTAGCTGGGTGAAAACAGACCAGAGCTATAGGTAATGCACAATAAAAATGGTCTCAGGGACAGGCTGGGGTGATTTAATATCACTCAGGTCTAAACTTTGGTCTCTCTGGGATGCCAGGAGTGATGCATCACCTCTGGGATGCTAGCTTTACTAGGAGTGATGGTATCTGCTCTGAAAGGGCATCACTATGAATTCAGAAAGTTTCGCCAACAAGAAACACACAATTCCTCAGAATTTTGACAAACAGACTCAGCACAGCTTCAAATAGGGTTTATTTAACAGTAATTGCAACAGATTTCCACAAAACTTACTACTGGGTGTCAGTAAATTACACGATACATATAAGGACTTCTTTCTATTCAGCAACTACATATCTTGCATAGAAAATTTTCTTTTACTGATAAAGCAGAAAATACCATCTCAAAAGGAAACACAGATTTCTAAGGCCTGAGATACCTGCTAGGACCTATTCTTGGAAGCATTTCTCACACTGTGCACCTTGTTTCAGCCAGCTCAGTCAGCAGCAGCAGGCACATAAGACTGAGCCCGCATTCATGGGCACTGTTCTGCACCATTAACTACACCAGAGTCATTCCAGTGAGCACTCAGCACTCATGAATATACATTATCTATACAAAAATGTTATAATTTAAACAATACTTTTATTAAATGATCACACCTTATGTCTGCTAACGAGAGAGACCCTTTTCGATGTTCCCTTGGAGAGCATCCTTTGGTAGAAATCAGCTAAGACAGTGCTATGCTGATTTGATCAAGCTCAATATTTCCATCTGAATGCAAGACTCTGTTGAAGCAGTCGCCTATGTACCTGACTGGCAAAACTCTCAGTGTCTGGCAACACAGCTGCAACCACTGAGAAACTGCACTGATACAGTACATTATTTTCCCATTCATTGCAGGTATGTGCAATGTCCCTGCAGCTTCACTAGTCCTGGCCATTGGTGGGTCATTAATGCCTTCTGCTCTCTAATAAGACTTCTCCATCCAGTCTAGTAGGATGTCCAGCTCACCCAAGGATTTAATTGCTGCAGATGTGACATTCAGCTGAAATGATATAAAGGAACAAGTTGTAAGCAAAGATAGCAAGTACAACCCAATGTAAAGAGAATCTGAATATCTGCGTTAATTACTAGACTTAGTCATCAACTTACCCCCTCATAGTTCACAAGTATTTGCTTAATTTTCTCAGTGGATTCCTGTCCACACGTGCATTTATTTTGCTCATGCTAGAAAAATAAGATAGAAATCGTCAGTTTGGGGGGTTAATTTTTAAAAATAAGAGATAAATATCCATATAGATTGAAACCTTGTTAAGTCACGAAAAAGGCTGCAGGTCCTTAAATCAGACTTCAGATAACAGCAGAGTTTACTTTGCTAGACAGAGGGATAGGATAAATATTATTCTTGAGAACTAATGTGGGAGTTTGCTGATGAGTAGGCAAGTATAAAAATTTCTCAGCAGACATTCACACTCATTACAGCTTGCTTCTTTGTATCCTTGCTAAAACCATGTTTATAAATAAAGATTTTGTAACTTTATAAAACACTTAGGTTTATTTATATACCAAATACTAACAGATGAAGCTAAACTGTAGCAATACCCAAGCCTTACACACTGCTCGAGTTTCCTCTTCACGCTGAGGAAGGAGTTGGCTATGCTGCTGATTTTTCGGTTGACATATGAATCCTCGGTCTTGCAGTGTTTGAAAACTTTGTCCACGTAGAAGTTGAAGAGGTGGTGGGTGACGCAGCATCTATCTGAAGACTTAAGGAATAAATTTCATTTTTAAAAGGTCTTCTCAAGTGATTTAAACCTGTAGTTGCCACCCCTTCTGCCTCCCGCTAGAGCAATCCATCTCTAACATCAGGTATAGTAGCTGTGCACAGCGGAATGTTTTGTCTCATGTAAAGCTTTTTCAGTGGTGCTTGCTGTAAATAAATAACATAAATAGGCAATTATTTTGGACTTATTTTCTGGGAGATCCATCCTCAGCAAGTCTCACTGAGCCAACAAAACAAATAGCTGATTTTGTAGCTGGGTGTTAGAGGCTGAGACCTGAAGTAGTGGCCCATGCCTAGTGATTTCAAGTGTAAAAGAGTTGCAAAAT